TTGACGGGGATCCCACAAGGCCTAGGGCGTTGACGGCGATCCCACAAGGCCTAGGGCGTTGACGGCGATCCCTCAAGGCCTAGGGCGTTGACGGCGATCCCTCAAGGCCTAGGGCGTTGACTGCGATCCCACAAGGCCTAGGGCGTTGACTGCGATCCCACAAGGCCTAGGGCGTTGACTGCGATCCCACTAGGCCTAGGGCGTTGACTGCGATCCCACTAGGCCTAGGGCGTTGACGGCGATCCCACTAGGCCTAGGGCGTTGACGGCGATCCCACTAGGCCTAGGGCGTTGACGGCGATCCCACTAGGCCTAGGGCGTTGACGGGGATCCCACTAGGCCTAGGGCGTTGACGGGGATCCCTCTAGGCCTAGGGCGTTGACGGGGATCCCACTAGGCCTAGGGCGTTGACGGGGATCCCTCAATGAGGGACACCTCCTTGGTGAGAGTGAAAGACCCTGACCACGACCTTGTTTTTTCTTCGTGGTGTGCAGAGCTGGCTGAGGTCCTGTGGTCCATGGTGATGCGTATGGGCTTCTCGCGCAGTTACGTGGGAGTCGTTCTGCTGTTCTTCCTGTTCTGCTTCTTCGCCACACTCACCGTATTCATCCTGCTGATCATGGAGGGCCTTTCGGCATTCCTGCACGCGCTCCGTCTTCACTGGTGAGTTGATTCTGCCTGCGAGCCTCCTACTGGGGAGTGAGATGGTACTGAGACTGTTTGAATTGCATTGTGGGAAAAGTGAGGGAGAAGTCGTGTCAGAAAGGATTGGGCAGAGCTGACCGCGTCCTTGTAGCAGCTAGATTCTAAGGAACTGGGAGGATTTGAAGGGGAGGTGGTTATCTCTCTCAATTAATATATAATGTACATAATTATGTCCTATACCTTTATACAACTGGCAGCAGTGTTTACACGTGCATCACCACAAACACCAGTAATGCCAGGATGTCACTAGCTGATTTGTTTTTCAGCTCCATTATTAGACCACCGTCGTATATGCGGTCCGTTGTTGACAAAAACATCATTATGCGGCACCTGGCTGTATTGGAATTTCAGGCCTTTGACACCCCCTATTGGTGCAGTGCATTGAGAAACAAATTCTTGGGCTTTAAGATCTGTTCTGACAGTCTGTTGTTGCTATGGGGTGCTGGGGAATGGTGTCTGGAAGCTGTGACTGAAGCGTTCTTTGTGGCCCTGCTAAGAATATTTTCTTAGAACTTTTGTGGAAGGTAAGTGCGTTATAAATAACCTACATTGTGGTCTCTTGCACCACCACTTGGCTTCATGAAAAATATGCAATAGTATTAGTTAAGTACTGTAAACATTGGGGGAAGATATATTAACGTTTCAAAATATTTCCGTTGCCAGTAAGTCATTAAAATCCTCCAATATCCGTAATTAATGTTCATTCCAAAGACACTATGCTTCACATCTTTTAGCAATATTTGTTTTTGGATTTTTGGAAAATTATCAAAAATCGCATTAATGGCTTAATGATCAAAAACGGTAAGATGGATATCAAAGTAGAGCAAATCATCAGCATTTTTGTCACAGGCTTTTCTCTAGGACTTCTTGTTCTCTAAATATGGCTTTGATGAATGGATACGGTTCCACTTCGTGAGAAAATGATTACGATTTTATTTTGCGATGTCTGCTGTCATACCTGTTTAAAGGAGTCTCACGTCTGTGCCTCATGTCAGTCTGAAGAGCTCAGACTCGTCTCGTCTCGTGTGTTGGCATCTGGTATACTTTAACCATGACAAGGTTTTGGCGTGAACCTAAGGTGCATCTGTACCACCGCAGACAAGAATCTACCGAACCACCCAAGGGCTCAATTACAGATTTTCTGTACTGGAGCCTAATCTCATTAGTGAGCCACACCAAATGCAACAAGCCAACGAATGTCATCGAAACAAAGAAAGTACAGTGGTACCTCGACCCACGAACAGTCCTGTTCACAAAGAAATCGGGTAACGAACCAGATGTTCGAAAAACTTTTGTACCGGTTCGCGAACCGTGTTTCAGGCTGCAAACACACAAACATCCCCCAAAAGGATCCATTGAAAGCAGCCCAAAGAACTTCCGAAAACACGAAGAAGTGTACAGTATGCCCAAGAATGGTTGTGGAAGGTATAGTATGTCTTTACTATATCTCTTCAGAGGTCGAATATCGGGGAGAGGGAGAGGGAGAGAGAGCATTCTGTTATAGCGGTACCTTTCAGTGATTGATAAACATGTTTGTGGTGGTTTTTAACAGTCACATATCTTTAAGGTTATTTTAATTTAAGTCTATATTCTTGGTCACAGAAAAAAAAAAATTCTGTGTTCCTGAGGTTTGAACGAATTATTTGCATTTACATTATTTTAAATGGGAAAAATTGAGTACTCGAACGAATTAAGTTTGTGAGCCGAGGTATGACTGAATATAAACTGAACTGAGCCCCTTAACCAATGTAAATATGGGAAAAGGATAATAACTGGAACAGCCCCTACAGTCTGTGAGGAGTCTTACGCTGTGGACACACATCTGCTCTGACTCGGCGAGAGAGCGGATTGGCTGTGCGTAGTGCAGAGAAGGTCGATCTTAACGTCCGTCCCTCATTAGGCCCCATTGGTGGTAGTAGTAATGAACGGTGAGAGAGCGCCCAAAAATACAGAATACATCCAATGATGAGATTCCCCGATGTCCAGGCAAAGAAGTCTCCTCATGCAGATCTTTGAGACCTTCCAGGAAGGTCCTTTGTGCCCCTTTTTGTGTGGGACTGTGGTTTATAGGTAAAACCCTTACTATTGGTCACTGCTGCCGTGTTGTTCTAGGGTCAGCTTCAGTATTAATGCCTTGACATCTGAAATAGCGACAATGAAATAAAATCCACTTTATACATAGCTACTCATTTGACCGCATGACTACTGTTATTAATGGCACTTCCCATTATGGCTGGAGTGGACTTGGTTTCGTTCAGAGAATAACGAGATTGGCTCTGCTTTCAGTGCCTAGCGTTTTTATACCTGCTGCATTAATTGATGTTTTATACCTACTATAGTACAGGGGTCTCAAACTCCGGTCCTGGAGGGCTGCCGTCCAGCAGGTTTTCTATCATACCCGGCTTCTGAGGAGCCACACCTGTTGTAAGGTAAATACCAGGAGCAGGTGTGGCTCATCAGAAGCCAAGTAGGATAGAAAACCTACTGGACGGTAGCCCTCCAGGACCGGAGATGGAGACCCTTGTACTATAGAAACAGCCTTAGGTGGTATCGACAGGGACGTCTTGGGTCTCCTAACGACGACAAGCGGTTTGTATTTTCCCCCCCAAAGTGTGATTTCTGATAAGTAGGTTCAGCCGATTGAGAAATGGTGACGAACTCGGTAACGTAAGATATTTAGAGCATTGATTGGTAAAAGCTGTATGTATAGAGCAATTGGTTAAGAGGAATCTGAAATTCATCTAAAGCCAGTAACTTTCTCCAGATTCTTCCCAATGGTTCCCAACAAGCTAATTTACTACATAATCTTCTGGAAGTTTCAATGAACCATAGTTTCCCTACTGAAGCTCGCCAGTGCTGATTGTCCGACGTTTCAGCTTTCTGAACTTCACTCCTAACCAGGTTTGAACTTTCTCCTCATTTCTGCAGGGTTGAATTTCAGAACAAGTTCTATGCAGGACAGGGGTTCAAGTTTGTTCCATTCTCCTTCGACAGCATCCTGCAAGGAAGATTCGATGATTAAATAAAGCACAGCTGTCACTGCCTTGTAAATCACGTGTCACCCCCGCCCTTCCAGGAATCTCCCCCCTGTTTAGTGTAGTCATGCTCTAGTCTCTGACCAACATCTGCTACAGGACTGGGAGGTAGATTTTGTGTGTGATTCATTTTTATTGTTTTTTTTTTTTTTTGCCATGACTGAATTTCTATGTTTTTACAAGCGACGTATTTCTGTGATCATCGAAGGTTTTCAGAATAAGCATTAAAGTATATTTTATAACTTAACTTTTATAAACAAATATTTAATATTAATCTTTGCAAGTAACACGAATCATTTTAAAATCTACTGCGGGGGGTGGAACAAGTGATCCAGCCTGTTCAAATAAGCTGTTTCTCTCCACTATCACTTTAAAAATAGAAAATGTCCATTATAAACTGAACTGAACTAGAAAGAAAAGATTTGTTATATAATGATATGAGACAGAAATTGTGTTCTGTGTCAGAGGCATTGTGTCATGGATCCTTAAACTTTTGCATGGACAAAAAGGGTAATGCCTATTGTTTCTAACTTAATTTACATAATCTACACAATTCATTTTTGTAGTAGGAAAAATTGTTCTAGTGAATCCTGCCTCTGAAATCTTTCTATGCATAATTTCAGTTACCATTGCACTTAGGATTCTGTCTCCTGTTGTGTGTGGCCAGTTGCATCCCCTTTCTCGGCTCCCTTGCCACCCATTTTGCTCCCCCTCCCCCCCCCCCGGATGAGTTCCATTCGCTTCGAGAAGACTTGCTGTTCAAAGGGAAGATGCATAAAATGGACTAAATGCTGCCAGAGGCTCAGTAAATTGAGCATGCATTTTATTGCTAGTGGTTGTTACGAAAATGCTCCATGCAGTTGCTGAGAAATATTCTCTGGAGATCTTGCATGGGCCATTAAGCTTGGGAAGATTGCCGCTGCTAGAACAAGGCATTGATTCAAAGGGCAGGCTGAGGTGTATTGCACCTTTATCAAATCTAATTATAACGGATCTGCATGGTCTCATTCAGCAGGAGATTGCTGATGTTGCACCACCAGGGGGCAGTGTTGAGTAACTGTGACCTGATTGATGTCTGTTGGTTGCCAGTTATGTCATATATTGTTTTGCAAAAATATAAAACATAAGCTGCTACATTCCAGAAAAACAGAACATTTTCCTCCGCAGTAAGATGAAAACTGAAGGGCACTACACGGCCAGAAGGACACTATTTCATAGTCACCTTAATTCACCAAATTCATATTTATATCCTGCAGAAATATAACTTATAAAGTAGATTCTACTTGGTTTGTCCTGGAACTCATTTCTCCAGTGTCAAACACAGAATTCCCAAACATATCTGTTGGAGTGACCTAAAAATATTTACCTGTTTGTCACATTTGATCTGCAAGTGGTTGTGAAGAGTAGAGTTGTGTGCGGTTTTCATTGACTTAGTTGTTTTTGTTCACTCTATGTTGATTTTTATTTCTGTTAAGGACTTGGGCAGAACGATGTGAAGGGGTGGAGATTTTGGAAATGATGATGGGTGGACCTTTATTGGTGCAAATTGCTGGGTGTGAGCAATCCGTGTTGTCCAATATGTTGCGTGAGGTGTACATTTTACATTGGGACATGTTTGTGCATTGAAATTATTAAAAAGATGGGAAAGATGATGGCTGGTCAAGTGCCTTTTTGTGTATGGAAGCAAGTTCAATATTTGACATCCCCAGTTGTGTGTGTACACAGTGTTGCATGCACAACGATGGTAAGGACCATGTACCACAGAGTGGTGCTGAATAGAAGTCATCCACTATACTGGCCCTCAGGGTAGTAGCTAATCTTGGCGGCCGTGAAGAATCATTCGTCACTATATTAAATATTGTAAATGTTACAACCCTTTTACCGTGGAACGCATCTGACCATCACAGCAAATCTGCATTTGAAAACCTTCTGCCTTTTAACCCCCCCAAATATACTATGCCTGCACAGTTCATGATACACTGATGCATGTTGGAATTTGGGTAATACTGCCGCTTACGTTACGTTCAGCATATTCTAAAAATACAATTGAATTGTTGATTTCCAAACGCAACACGATATAATCAACGTTTACTTCACCAGAAAAACCCATTGTTAAAACAACAGAGTATGGTGGGTCTTGCTCAGAGACAGCATCTCTACAGGAACATCCCAGTTCTTTGCTCTGTATAGTTCGCTGTACTGTGCAGTATATTATGATTATATCGAAGCATGCCCTAAGGATCTTACTGATTTTACTGTGAAGATCGTTCTGACAGTACTCCCTTCTGCCACATCAGCCCTTAATTTTGAGAAATGGGAGCCCATTATGTGCTTTAACCCAGGATTTTGTGGCGTACCTGCAGAAGGCGGGGACTCCACGAGTCCGAGCCAATCCCTGCCAAGCAGGGTCATGAATGCCCATGATTGGACAGCATGGCTCCCTTTGCAGGTGGCCACCTTGGAGTAGTTCCCCAGCAGGTCCAGGACTGACAGCCATGGGAGGACGTCCATGGAGAGATGATTGAACTCCTCTGACCTCGAGGATTGTACTCAGCTGCCAGAAACCAAAAAGTAAGAAAGAGAAACAAAGACACTGAATATTTTCATACGTTCTGAATCGATAACATATGGACCTTCAATAAGAACTGGATCCCTAACGCAGATGTAATGTGACATTATGCAAGTCATTGAGAAGGTGGTTCAGCCCAATAAATCCTGCAGGGTGAACCTGCTACACGTGATCTGGCACCGCATCTGAAATGCCGGGTTTCCTTCCACAGGACAGACATGGGAGGCTGAGCTCCCCCAGTCCTGAATGGACTTTCCCAGCTCATTTAATTAGGAAATCAGGCAAATGAAGATCTCATGGGTGTCCGATGTGACCGGAGACAGAGAGAAAACGCTTGCAAACATTTATTCACGTGTCACAAAATTCTCTTACCTGTTGCTCATCTTCAGTGAAGAAGTCTGAAACCCTGCGAATCAGACTTCTCCGCAAACTGCTTTGCACTTGACCCTCGTCTTGATGCCTGAAGATCCAAAAAAAATCTGCGAATTAAGAGAGGGAGAGAAGGAGAGATGGTACCATAGTTTTTGTGATTAGGTCAATAATGCACGTGGACACGGCAACTGAAAAATCACATGTATGCAGCTCTATGAGAGTGTCTGTAAATGGTGGTGGATGCTCCTCTTGCTACCTGCTCAGCTCAGCATATGGGAACCATCTGCAGTGCTCGTCCTGCCTACTCGTGACCTTCCAGAAGGAGGTTGAAGAGGCACTGCAGTGTGGCGTTCATATAACACGTCTGGCCAAGGTTTGGTATGCAACCTTTTCAGAAGTTACACTACCGGTGGCCCCAGGTGACCTAATGACCAAGGGACTTTTGTCAGGTACCTTCATTATTATTATATATGAAATAATAATAATAAGATGTAAGAGAGTAACAGTTTGATATGTTACAGGGTATCATGCCTCAGGCCTGCTACCTGGGTCGGGAAGTGAACGAGGTACAACGTGAGGGGAATACTATAGAATACAGTGTCACATATTTAAAAGACGGATAGTCACGTAGAAGTTAGGTGGCTGCATATATTTTGCATTAATTTTATTTTTTTATTTATAAAGGCAGGGACTGCAAAACGTATCAGAACGGGCGGGGCGTACGTTAAAGCACTAAATGATATACAGCATTTTCTCTGGCCAGACGCTGGTGCCCCTACGTGCACACGCATCCACTGACGCGCCGTAAAAACGGCAGGCGTGAACGCGCTCATACGCCAAGGACGCGCGTTTTTAGGCAGGCGATTAATCTACTCTCGTTAAAGCAAACAAAGAAACGAGTCAGACCTTAATCGAAATCGGCGGATGTTTCCAGGAGAACAGTCAGCCTAATGTACGGATGGCTGGCTGGATAAGACGAGGGTTAGATTTATGAGCGTTCTTTAAAAATCAGTGAAATTGTGGTATTTATCTGTCAGATATTGTTTAGACAAAATGGTCATATTTTTATTAGCTTATTAGTCCCATCTTATAATTTAAAATAAATGCGTCTTAAATTAAGACATTTATTTTGTTATGTTTTGATCTGTTTTCATGGCAGTTATTTTTGTACAGAATTATATAAATGCTAGCTATTCATCCCACTGAGTTTTAGTTTACCCAAGTTTATATGTAGCGTTAGGCACTCAATGATAAAGCGGCGGTTTACCATTACGGCGTTCTGTAGTGCAGTTTCTCATTATTCCTGAAATTGAATTTCCCATGCTTTGCGGTATTTCAATGTTGTATTTAATTTTATTTTTATTAAATAATGTTTATCCATGCATTCTGGCACATTTGTGATTTAACAAATAATGGCGTGTGTGTGGACATTAAAGTTTTCTGTTTTCATTATTGTGTCAAATATTTTAAAATATGCACCTCGTGCATTCATTTTGATATTCTGCACATGGAAAATTTGATCGGGACCGGTAATAGTTATTGTTTTATTCTTGGAAATTTTATTCCTTGAGTTTTGCCTTGCTCTCGTGGTCAATATTAGTCAATGTAAGAATAATAATTTTATTATAATAATAATAATATAATAATAATAATAATTTTTTTTAAGCACGGAATTCCACGCGGTGGCGCTACAGTACAAGGTTACACGTTCCGTTTGCTTGGGTCGAAAGACGAAGCTATATATAAACAATTGTTTTAAAACAGCTGGTACGCTACAGTTTACCTTTTGCCTGTTGTACTTAAGTTAAGATGCATTTTAAATTATTTTTGTTACCCAGATCTATAAAAAAAATTGCGGTGTAACTCATTCTCCTATAAAACTGACATAACATTGTTAATCCAAATTCAGAACTATACGTAATATACAGAAAAGATCGAATGTCTGTTTCATAAAATGCTCCGTAAATGGATGCAGTCTGCTAAAATATGCAAGCTCACTATTTATCTTGACCTTGTTTTGACACAGAGTGGCTCCTGCTAATTCTTCCAAGCCCTCAATGGGATTCCTCTTTCAATGCACTTCTGGACTAGACCACATGTTTGTTGGCCCCACATGGGCCAGTGGTTAAAAATAACTCGGATTGTGATGAGACCAGAACAAGATGTACACAGACGTTCCTCTGGAGTTCTTGAGGCCATAACCTTGGTTTCAGTAGCCAAAGTAGTGTGAAGCTCAGGAATTTTTCTCAATGATCTTTTTTTGCCAATTCCCAACGTCTGGTGGGTTTCTCCCTGCGCATAATGACACAGCCTCCAAATAATCCCGTTTAATTTAATAGGCTGAAACAATTTGCCCCATAACCATTTTCAGATCAGAAACATACCCGCAAACTGTTAAACGTTAATTTGAAAATCAGCCATACAGAACAGCTTAAGAACTTTGACAGCCTTATAAATAAAATCGTAAAGTCAACAGAAAACACACTGGAGCACACAGAGTTCCCCACCTGGACTCTCTGAAGCTTTTTAGTCATCATAAATCATGGATTTAAGAATTCTTGAGCGCTTACTGTATTTCACTATCCTCTGTTTTGCTACTGGAACACACCACACTGGTCTATCCAATCCATCTTTCCTTATCACTCGTCTTGTGCAGGGCTTTGGGAAAACACTGGGAACAAGATTATCTATCTATTGGAACCATCTCTGCTCAGTTCACATAACTGCAAATCTGACAGACAACTTGCTTTCCAAAGATACATTATCAAGGTATGACCTTTGTACATCAATGGTATGAATTGTACCTGATGATTTACATTTCAAAATGGTAAGAATTTCCTGCTAAATATTTTCTTTGTAACAGAATGAGCTTAAAATAATTCCACAAATCTTAAAATATTTCGGATGGAATCAGTTCAGAAGAGCCATAGTTTTTCAAGGATTAAGGATTAGCTAGAGAGCCTCCCAACCTACTGCGACTTCTGTATCCTCTCTAGAGCGTCTGCAGCTGCCTCTGCGACTCGTGTGTTTGGAGACTATTATCTCAAAAACTATGTGAAAGTAAAGCAGTTCTTTACTCTGGCTGAACGGTGCTAATTCCTGTAATACTTCTATCTTGTCCAAAAGCTTTGTTACATAACTACTCTCATTACCGTCATGGGTAACTGGAAGTATAAAATTGCACACAATGCGTGAAAGGAGCTGACTCTGATGACCTCTTTTGATGACGTCTTATGCAGGGGTGAGTCGTATAATCAAAGTTAATGGATGTGCGGCCGGCAAAAGTGACTGGAGCCCCTTGAAAGGTCGCGTTCTGGGTCTGGCAGCTCTCCGCGCCAATCCATCACCTCGGAGAAGGACGTGCGGGCCTCTGCACACCAGAGACGGGATGACGACACGGGTGAAGCCATGCTGTGACATGACAAGGGCTCCGAAGTCAGCCTGTAAATGTAAATCATCGGGAAAAATTCATACCATTGATGTGGCACATGGTCTGTGAGGACTGTACTTTAATGACGGCATGACAGTGACTTTCTGAGAGAGAGTAAATGCTGGTGGCTGAAATCGCTCCTCTGGAGAGAGACTCACAAAGTTACAGAAACCAAGCACCAGTCTAAATAGTTAGGGACTAAAGGGTTAATCTAGTAATTATTTAGGTAAGATGGGGCTCTTACGAGGGCAGCGTGGTGTCTCAGTGGCTCATGTTGTGTC